GTATAAAATATGTTCCTTAAAAAAAGTAACAAAACCACTAAAACAGCTGCCAACAAAAATAACAAACAAAAAAATGAATTCAAAATATAATACGATTATGTAAAATATTATTAAAATGATAAATAAACAATGACACAATGAAAATAATCCATTAGGAAAATTTAAAATAAATTACAATAAGCAATGAGGCAACAAATGAGAACAATTAAAAACAAACAGGTATTAACATAACAAGTTCAGGAAAAATATATTCACAAATATAGAAGTGGTTCGATTTTGCGCCATAAACAATGAAGATTTCACAATATTTTCAGTCCCCGAACTAGAGCAGTGACTAAATTTAAGTCTTGCTTAAATATTATTGCATACAAGTATTAAAAGAATTATATCGAATATCAGTCGCATCGAAAAGATATGTCGTCGCAAATTTGCTTGCCAAGTAAAGCTAGTTTTTTAAACTGTTGAACAAGCAAAATTTAATTAATTTGATTAAAAAACGGATCACGTTTCAATTCGACTTTTAACAAAACAAAGATTACGCTAACAAAAACAAAACTTTATTCGACTTTTTTTTTTATTACAAGTCTAGAAAGACAGCACTAATATAAAGAGTGCTATTAGAAAAGTGGTTAAAAGACTTATGTCAGCCAGAAAGTTGAACATTTTCGTGCAATTTAAAATAACTTCTTTCTTTTGATCCCTGTGTTCAAAAGCTATTTCTAGCACCCAAAGGACCCCAATTATGTGTTAACATCTCACTAGTTTTTTTTGCCCCTGAACTGATTTTGAAAAAGACTGCCCATTTAATACATTATATATTAAATTTTAAAGCTAGCATTTCATTTAAACTCTCACTAAATTGTGCGACATACGAGCCCCTTCCATTGCTCTAGAGCTCACAAATCGTGCAGAGTACAGCCTAGTCTGTCTAGTCAACCTCAATATTGCATTCTCAATCCAAAACTGTCAAGTTCCAGAGCTCTCAGCACTCCAGATGTCTTTGTTTTTGATTTGCGCAACAAATTGTGAAATGATTTAAGGCGGCTCATAAATTCAAAAAGGGGGCTTACCTGCCTAGATGGCCAAGAGCTCTTCACAAAAAGTGCGACGCGGCTTTTAATTTTAAGCTCTTAGCCTTCGCAATTGATAAGAGAGATAAGAGATAAGAGAGAGAGAAAGCTTTGCGAGTCAGCAGCCCAAAAGGAGTTGTGTCGAGCAGGAGGGGGGCGGGAGGAGTTCGATCGTGTCTAATGAATTAAGCAACTATTTGCACAACTGATTGATATATTGATGGCATGTTGCGTAAAAACACATTTGTTTTTATTGAAATCAAACACCCTCGGAGTCGACAACCGTTTGCGAAGGCTTTAGTGTTTATGCCTTGACTTTGATTTAGCATTAGACGAGAGGAATAAAACTTCAATTACGATCGCTGCTTACATGAATTGCATAAATATTTCAGCGACTCATTGCAACGCGAATGACAGATACAATATTATACAATATACATACATACAAGTACATATGTATAGAAATATAAATAAGCCCGATTGACATGATGTGGTGGCTACTGACCCCGACCTCGTTTGCAATTAGCTCGACTATGGCCGGGCCGATCGATCTGAACAGCAAGATAAAGACGTCTCAATGCGAGCAATCGTTTCTTTCCAAATAGCCGATAGAAAATAAGTACCAATGCCAGGTGTATGAAATATTTACAAAGTAGAAGCGATATTTATATGGCTTCATTAAGTTCAAAGTTTGCTTTGGCAACGTATTTGTATTCCCCTTTAAAGCAACCATTTTGGTTTTCCTTTTTCTATGCTTCAAATAGGAATAGTAACGTTAAAATGTTAGGCATAATAATAATAATACAATAGTTTTGGTCACATTTTGTTATTTTATTTGCAACTTTATAGTCAAAGAAATGACCGATTTGTTCTTGGGGATAATACCTTAAGTTAGATTAACAGAGTTTAAAGAAGATTAACTATTAATCAATATTTAACTTTTAATGCAATGTTTCTCATACAAAAGACTGATTAACAGCTTAGAGATTAGACTTTATTCAGTAAGTTAAAATAACTTAAAAAGAGTATCTATTTCTTTAAGCTGGCAATAGAAAATTAAATATTTAATCTCTAGTATGAAAACAAACATCAAAGTCTATGAAATATATGTTTAAAAATTCTACGCAGTAAAAAGTATTTCTTTTTGTATTTTAGATGACAATAGTATTTAACAAATAATTTATTTCAAGCCTTAAATATAAAAACAAGCATCAAGGTCTATAGAACTTGATTAAAATCTAACAATGCTTTAGTTGTTTTTGCTCTTGACTATAAAAGTTTTCATCTTTGTTGATGTATTACTTACTTACTTATTTAATAACTTTAAGCTGTTCGGCAGAAACATTTTGAAATTACGATTATTTATAAAAAAAAATTTTAAAAACTTTAACAAGTCCAATAAAAAACCAGAGCAGCCCTATGACAATGCCTGTTAAAAATTAATGCTTAATGTATTAATATATGCTCACGACTTGATTTCAACATTAAATCCAATTCAATTCATTTGATAATAAAATACGCCGTTAGGAGAAATATATTAAACACAGAGTTTGCCATTAAAAATCAAAAATAAAGTGAAATAATTCTTTAAATGCTGTAAAAAGCCGTTTAGAACTTGGCTAATAAACAATAATAAAGATTTCCAAACAACAAACAAAGGTAAAGTTTAGATAATTTTTGGGTTATGCCAAATATATTATTCTCGATAAAACTAAGCTATTCGCACGCATTATTTTCAAGTTTAAATATGTGTAAAAATTACCTAAAAATTGTTTCCCCTTTCCCGTAGCTTCTTCCTGAATCGCCTTGAATGTATTAAAGCGGTTTAATAGGGAATCAACTTTGTGGTGTGAATCGATTTTGTTTCCATAAGTTCTCATCCGAATCGCCTTTATTGCGTAGGAAAGTTGTGTTAAGACTATTAACAACAATTTAATGAGAGTTGCAAACAAAAACTGGTTGTCCTGCCCCTCAAAACTACGCGTTTATGTTTAGCACTTGGAACGAACCCAATTCGATTAAATCCATCGTTTGGAAATGAAAACAATATTTAAGCTATCAGGCATACCTGAAATTAGAACTCAAGAGCTCTTGGCAACTAATCTGAAGACTCTTACTGTCTATCTTCCTGCAAAGATCACTTGGGATTGCAGATGATTAAAAACTTTCGAAGAGAGAGATAAACTCTGTAGTTATCTGGGTAGGCTTTGGAAAGCACAAAACAATCGTCATCGAAACTAAATGCAAATTATAAATTGTTATTCAGCAAATGTGTTAACCAAAGCGGCTAAATTCTGTTAAGCGACAATAATCATAATTGACGTCACAAATCCCCCCACAAACTCAAAAATTTGTCATCATTTCGAGCCAAAAACAATATCGCTGCCTAGCACTGACGATTACTCACACCCTCTCCAGCCCACAATCAATTTCATAACGATGGCGCAGCGATCCGAAATCGGGTCCCCTTGCTACCACCCCGATAACGTCGATGGCTGCGTTATTCGCTAATTAGAGCTTAAGGCTAGGCCAGTCGATAAGATTGCCCCTCAGAAGATCTTCAGTTGTATAAAATGGTCGGCCTGCTTCGAGGCACGCTCAGTTCTGTCGCGCACTTTCAACAAATCTAACATAAACTAATCGCAGTAGCTATGTTTTCCAATATGGGTTTACGTTATAAATTGGTCCAACGCCTGTATCGGAGCTTTCCCCACAGACACCAACAACACCACCAACAACACCATCATCGCCATGGATTTTACTTTACTAAACACGTAGGTTTTGGAATAAAAATGTTTACTTTAGGCTCCGATCTGCGACGAATAGGCGTCTGTATGTCTGAACGCAAAAATGTCAGAAAGTGTGGCAGCTAAGGTCACCGAATTTTCTGTGCAGACTCTTTCAATGAATATGTGCGACAAGTTTTTTGGTTTTTGTAATAATTGAAGTGGTTTTAAAAATTGAACCCTAAAAGCTGAACTCAACAAATTTCGCATGAGATTTGTGTAATCGATGCACAACTCAAGTAATTTAAAAACCCGCCATAGCTTCATTAGCTTATTATTTTTTAAATATTAGTAGTGTTTAACTAATTAAAAGGGGAAAGTGAAGGAAATATTTAACATAACGACTCCGTCATTTAAAAATGAAATAGTCCTCCTTAATAAAGGTTTGAAGAAATACAAAACTTAGCTTGAGATACCCATAGAATTGCTTTACCCAACACTGAATGGGTAAAATGATAAACATATTTTCTATTTTTAAATAGAAGGAGCCTTTAATGCAAATTTATTTCATCCGTTTGCATGTATGAACCACATTTTCTTGAAAACTGTCGGAGCTACAAAACCGAAACTTTGCATATAAAGTCAACTAAGTTAAGTAGACGTGAGGTCACAAATTAAATTAAATAAGTTAAATTATGATGCGACAATTCCATCTGAATACAAAAAAAAAATAGCTTCACTAAATACTAAAATATATTTTAGTATTTTAGTAAAAATCCCATAGGAATATATTCAGTGGAATGTTTTTTGTAGAAAAAGTGTTACTTCAATAATGTATTTGAAGGTGTAATTTTTTGTAATACTATTACTGAAGGGTGTAACAATCTCAATTTCATCGGCGCGTCATATACAGAATTGGTGAAACCGTTTTTGCGTCAAATGATTTCTTAATTATGTACTAGACTTAAGTATATCTCTGATTTGGATATTATGAGTGATTGGGCAACAAAGTTGCTAAAGTTCTGCACCTTTCTGCTCGACCCGCCCTCCCAGTCTAGGAATCTATAAAAACGATTTATTTTCAGTAAGAAACCCTTTCGATAGTAGTAGGTCATGCGGAATTGGCCAGAGAACTGTCATTGTACGAGTAGCCAGTTTATTATTTGAGGCATTCAGTTTTACATGATGCTCCGTAGTGTAAAGAACTCCGAAATTTTGTAATCAACACAATATATATATAATTTTTTTTTATATTTTTTGTATTTTTGCTATCGTCTGTGTTCCTTGTTTCTGTCTTTTCGAAGTTCGGTAAACAAAACAAAATACAAAAGCGTAAAGATTCGGGTTGCTGTCCAAATTGTTAGTGAATGATGAATGCCCACCGCTACCAAAAGGTTGGCAAGTTGGCCAAACAGGGGACCATGTTGCACTGTAACGGAGCTATCAACGCCACAGTGCGTCAATTCTACAACGAGCAGATGGGCGGATCCAGGACGGCGCTGCTTGTTGGCAGCTTTGGCATCCTGGCCCGTGGCACTCCCTCGACCGTGAAAAAGAATCAGATGGCTAAGAGCAGAACGCCATCTAAAGCGCGTCCTATACCCTCGCCACGAGACTCCTGCACCAATGTGCTGGGCGTTCACAGGACTATCTCTCATCCGATGCAGGACGTAATGCAGACAACGCCCTTGCCGGTCGATCTGTTGCCCACCTGGAAAGGTCTGGTTAGTGAGCAGAAGGCTCTGAACGAGACGTCCTCGCAAGCCCAAAACCTGCGCAAGGTCTACAGCGAACTGTCTCTTTATTCCTCGAGCAGCAGCATGAGTGTGAAGCGGATGGTGGCGCCGCCGCCCAACGAGAACGGAATGCAATTGAGTCGCAGCTTCAACTCGGCCGCTGCGCGCCGTCGTACCTATGCGGCCATGATGACAATTATGCCCTCGCGGCATCGTCGCGGCTACTTGGTGTACAATGCGAACTCTCCGATGTCCGCGAAAAGCAGTCTGCTGGTCACGAACCCGGGGCCGCAATCGCCCGTCAATAAGTGGATGCAGCCGACTCGAAGTTTCGGCACCAGCACTCGGCGTTACGGATTCAATCCGACTACGGCGACGGCACAGGCCCGCCAGCTTCAATACCAGAATTCCGACGATCGCAGCGCCCGAGTGGCTCGCGAGATCAGCAGCTCCATACAGGAGGATCTGATGGCCATTGATCCGGTGACAAAGCGAATGATTAGTTACGAGAATTCGAAGGCAGTGCCGCCGCCCTTTGAGGAGACCGGCGGCTTTGATAAGCACGGCATCGATCCGCTCGAGGGCTGGCACCATCCGAAACGCCATCAGCGTCTAACCAGCCGAAAGGTGGCTAGTGTCGACAGCGAAAAATCAGAGCCACTCATGGAGCAGGTGAAGCCACGTCGCCGTAGGCCTACCAATGTGCGTTACAGCAGCAATTTTGCGAAGGGGAATCTCTCCGATCTGACTACCGTTGCCGACTTCGGGGCAAAGCAGACCGGCTTCAGTAGTGTCATCAATGCCCGCAAGGGTAAGGTCCAACTCAGTGACATTTACATGAATGCTACAAAGGAGCGTCCGAATATCTATCGGGCCGATTATCGAACACCAGCGCTGCCGCCTCTAAAGACGATCTCACCAAAGTCCGAGGAGATTCGCCCGACTCGTTTGGATCGCAGGGATCGCGGCGATCGGCGCCCCAAAGAACATCTGTATCAGGCAGATGCGGATGCTGACGAGCACCAGCAGTCCGATTCAACTGCAGGATATAGCCTTCCTTTGAAAAGCAGCGGCAATCTGAGCGCTAGACGCCTCGTCTCCATGCCACCGGCTCTTTCCTCTGCCACCAAAAAAGATCTCTATAAGCAGCCGGAGGAGGAGCGCGATTTCCTCACCAAGAACATCTTGCAAGTAGATCTGAATTCTGTGGCGCCACGTCTAGATGATATTTATTACCAGACGACCATCGAACCAAACATTCTCAGTCCCTCACAGCGTGTGATCAACAATCAGTTCGATGGCTATCGCGCCCATCTCCAGGGAACGCGCGACAAAAGCAAACCGCTCAGCCTGAGCAAACAGGTGGTGGATAACATCAACCCCGTGCCTGAACCACTGAGCATGCACGGAACCACTTATGTGCAGAAGAAGGAGACGCCGACGCCGCCGCCGAACAAGCCACGCATCAAGGTGTCGACCACCAGCACTCGCGTGCCGACGCCCTCCTTCTCCGGAGGTGTGCTCGAGCCGCAGAAACGGCGCGAGAAACGTGAGGTGCGTGAGATGCGTGAGGTGCGTGAGATGAGTGAGGTGCGTGAGAAGCGCAGCGATCTGCGTGACAGGCGTGAGGAGCGCGAGTGGGCCGAATGGCCGGACATGGACGAGGAGGAGAAGAAGCGACAGGAGAAACGGGAGTGGCAACGCGCCCAGAAGGACTCGACCAACAATTGGCGTGAGTGGCGCGAATGGCCCGAAGAGCACGATCTGCCAACGCTCTGCAAGCATGCCGCTGCGCCCATATCCTCCCTTTCCGGCAGCCAAATAACGGAGGCCGCTGTCATGGGCAAGGACATTGGCAAGCCAAAGTTTCGGCGCAACTCGGCCATGAGTCTCAAGCCGACCAAATCCTCGCCAGCTACCAGCGTATCGTATGGCCAACGTCCCAGCGAATTGGCCGAGCAATACTCGCGATCGCAGGCCATGAGTAAAATTGTGTTCCAGCCACAGAAGCCGGTGCAGCCACAGAAAAGACAGCCGCCTCGGTCTAGCTCCACTTCGATGTCCTCGCAATCGCATCGTCAATTCCACATGCAGGACAATGCCAAGCGAGCTGCCGAGCCATCCTCGTCCCCTTCTCAGCAGGAAGAGTCCGGACATTACGCCGAAATGTCGGCCGTACAGCGCGTCACCCAACCAACGGAGAGTCGAGTGGCCCATGCCCACTACCTCTATCGCATGAAGAACAGCTTCTAGGCTGAACTACAAGCAACGAGTGTCACCCCCTGGCCCGGACGACCAACCCCACCAACAATCTGTGTATCCACCGAGAGAGTGAGGCAGAGAGAGAGAGAGAGAGAGAGATTCTCATTCCCTGATCCTACTCCAAAGCACCCGTGAACCGCAAACAACCAGACGGACGTATCAAAAGTACAAAAAGCTAGCCAACAACAACGTGTCAATTCCAAAGTAGATCGGCTCCCTAATGCGATCGAATCGTGCATGGGTATGGCGTTTAAACAAAAACGCCCTATACCCGCTATTCAAAATTTATAGTCAAAATTTTCCGCATCTGTCCACTTATTCTGCCTGTTCTCTATCCCCCCTCCCCATCCGACTCTCCACCGTTTCGGAAGTAAACAAATATATATCTTTGGCCAAATCGTATGTTCTACACTCATCACACACCACAATCAAAATCGTATTGTGTGGAGTCCGTGTAAAATAATAATGTAAAATAGATATACCTTTTGCAAAAAATATAGAAAAATGTTGAGCATAGCAATTGAGAGAAAATTATTCCTTTATGTTATATATAAACATATATATGCATAACATTTAAAAATCGATTCGTGCCTATACCTTTGGAGTTTGGATTCGAAATGAAACGCTTAGCTAACTCATTAGTGAAAATGCTTTATTATAATCCCCTTCGAAAAGGATTTCCCTTATTTCTTTTTTTTTTTAAATAATTCAACAAAAGAGACAATCAGATATATTCTCAATTCCGATTTTGATTAAATTTATCGAAATCGCATTGACTGACATTTACGATTTGTAGAAAGTAATACGTTTTCTCGAATTCAATTCAATACCAGAATTTAACTCGAATATAGAAATTGGAATTGAATCCGAGACAAAATGTAAGCTTTGCGTCAAATCGAATTCGCCAGGGAACTTATCTTTTAAAAATGTCAAACTTTTTAGAATCATTTAATATTTTTTTGGAACTTTAATGTTTCAGATTCAACAACCATAAATTACGTACCCGATTGTTCTCAAAAGGTAGCGAGCACCCTACCTGCCTTTTTGTCTTAGAACTTTGAGTCTATCGAAGATGTAGGACTCGGAAAATATTCTTTTTTTTAAGTCCTAGATCTAAACAACGTCTAAACGATTTGAAAAACATTGAAATTTTTGTTGCTTTTTTTTGGAAGCGAAAGGGCGTGTTAATGGTGTTACGTTCGATTCTGTCCAACTTTTTATAATGTTCCTCTATTGGAGAAATTAATTCCGTCTCTGTACTTAACATTTTTTTTTAAGTATGAAGAAGTTATTGGAAGTAATTGGAGATCCTGTCTATTTGTTTAGTCTTTTTTCTGGAATATTTAAAACACATGGAGTTTTTTCGAAACAACATCGACATCGTCAAGTGGGGGCTTTATAACGTTGTCCAAATAACAGTTCTTATTCGCACCTCATCAAGAGGTTTTTATTCTATGTTAATAAAAACTTGGTGCGAAATCATATTTGAAAACTGTGCCTTGTTGCCAATTCTCATATGTTATCTGTGGTCGGATCGCAGCTCGACCAATCTGTCATATCACCATCGATTCTCACCGACCCACCCAACTGCATTGTAATATAAACATACATCCAAGTATTTTTTCTCCCAGTGTATTTGTTGACATGTTAACGTGTATTTTGGCAAAGTATTCACGTTGAATATTGGAACTGATTTAATTCTACTTACCAAACACCGAGCGAGCTTTATGATTTGTAGTGATTTCTCTTTTTCATTACTTGATCACAACCAGAAATACACAACAAGAAATACTTAAGGAATACAAATCCCACCACCCATCCAGACAGTAAAGACAGACCCACAAAGTAACACGCCAGTAACGTTTGTTAGCATTCTGTTAACAGCTTTTGTTTTACGTTTCTTTTTGTTTTTTATTTTTGTCCTTGAACAAAATGTAAATTTTAGTACACTGAAAAAAAAAAAAAAAAAATGAAATGAAATGAACTGCACTGTCAACTCCAAATGTTTTCATACTGCACCTGAATTTTAAAGTTTGCTACACAAACAATTAATATTAACGAGTATTTGCCTTTGCATATGTATTTTAGTTTCGATATTTAAGTACTTTTCTTGATTTAGTTTATTTGCAACGCTAGCCTACGTCGCCAAAAACCCACTAATAATCCATATTTTCACTAAACTCTCAACAATACAGGTGCTGTCTATGAGCACAGATGAGTATCGCAAGGCCTCTCTATTTCCAACTGGTTCCTTCGATTTGGATTTCCCCATACCGGATCTAATTGGCAAAACAGAGATATTGACCGAGGAGCATCGGTAAGTTCGCGCAATCAATATGTATTGATGAAAGTGCATTAAAAAATCGTATTTGTCTAAAGAAATTTTAAAATTTTCCTAATATAAAAGCTGCCATGCAGATGGACACACTGTTTTCTTTTATGAAGAATATGCTTTGTCGTAACTGTACTCATGACTAATAAATTTGATTTATTACAGCGAGAAACTCTGCTCACATTTGCCAGCGCGTGCCGAGGGCTACTCCTGGTCCCTGATCTTCAGCACATCTCAACATGGTTTCGCACTGAACTCGCTTTATCGCAAAATGGCGCGACTCGAGAGTCCAGTATTGATTGTTATCGAGGATACAGAGCACAATGTAAGTGAAGCGAAGTGAAAAAGAGAGCCAGAGAGCGAACTGACTATGCAAACAAACAGTGTTGCCAATACCATTAAAAAAAAAAAAAAGACTTTATGAAGAGTCGGAGATTTATTTAACTCCAACATTTAAAATGCAAAAAAAGTGCAGCTCCGACTTGTCTTTCATTCCTTTAAATATATGTGCCTAACATTTTCCCTTCTCTCACATATTTTTGTAGGTCTTTGGCGCTCTCACCTCTTGTTCGCTGCACGTGTCCGATCATTTCTACGGCACTGGCGAGTCCCTGCTCTATAAGTTCAACCCCAGCTTTAAGGTATTCCATTGGACTGGTGAGAATATGTACTTCATCAAGGGCAACATGGAGAGCTTGTCAATTGGTGCTGGAGAGTAAGTACCGCTACAAATTTGTTCTAAACCACGAAACCTAACAGTCTCTCTCTCTCTCTCTCTCTGCCTCTGTTAATTAGCGGTCGCTTCGGTCTCTGGCTGGATGGCGATCTGAATCAGGGCCGCTCGCAACATTGCAGCACATATGGCAACGAGCCATTGGCGCCACAAGAAGACTTTGTTATCAAAACACTCGAATGCTGGGCATTTGTTTAAATGAATTTCTGTTTGAAAACAACAAAAAATCATTACGTGAATATTTAATTAATTATATGTACTAAAAACTAAATGCTAAAACAAAAACATCAACCTGAGAATGATATCAAAACCCTCTCTCTCTCTCACACACACACACACACGCACACAACACATCCACACAGACAGACAGAAAAAAATCCAAACTGCAAAGCAACAATTTTAGAAGAGAAAAAAACAAACAATATTTGTTGCGTGTGAAAGAAATGATTAAAAAAAAACAAAAACTTGTGCGCTGCAATTATTTAGTTTTTATATCGAAAGCTAAATTGTGTGTTAATTAATGAAAAGCCATGTGAGGAGCAAACGATAAAGCAAAAGAAAAATACATAAACACACACCCACACACATATATATAAATATACACTAACTGTTAAAATTTCATGCACACTCACACACACACACAAACACACACATACACATTAATTTAATTTAAGTTCTCTGTTCATTTTGAAAATTAAAAAAGTAAGAAACAATTTGTATAACAAAAAGGAAACCGCAATAATGAGTTTGTGTTTTTATTTTTATAATTTAATTTAATTGATTTCTGATTTAAATGTACGCAGTAATAAGCAAAATGTTAGCGAAAAATATATACAAAACAAAAAAATATACATGTCGATATAATTTTTAGTCTGCAGACACAGGCGGTTTTGCAAATTTTAAATGAAGATGATGATGAAGAAGAAGAAGTAGCGAAGATGAGAAACGAAACCTTTTTGTGTAATAATTTGACTTTTATAAAGAGAATAACTTTTATTTGTAACTATTATATTTAATTATTCTTATTTTATGCTAATGATGTTGATTTATGATTTATATGCTACATACTAAAAAACAACAACAACAACAACCACAACAGATGATAAGGAAACAACACAAGAATGAAATACAATTATAATACAGCAAACAAACAAACGAAAATCTCATGTTTTTCTCATTGTTCCTTTCGATTCACTTTATTTCTTCTTATTGATTTTCAGCCATTTATGTGTAAACAGATACGAGTATCAGATAAAAAGCTGTATCGTCGCTCATTTTCACCATTAGAGAAGCACTGAAAAATAAAGGTGTGGTCAGACATGCAAATAATTTGCACACCATTTTTTTGAATTTTCGACATATGACAAGATTAAAAAATTTGTGTGAAAATGATTTGCGTGTCTGACTGAAACCTGGAAAATTTAAAGCGTATTACGACGAATATTTTATATTTAGAAACGAAATTTGAGCTCTTACGCACTTTTTCGATAACTCCTACAATTTGTATTGTTTCAAAAACCGTATCCCTTGTTTCTAAAATGTAAAACATATTTTAACGAATATTTACGAAAATGTGGTCCTACGAATTGAGTTGTCGTTCCAATCGGATGGAATTTTGAGCTGTTTTAAAGACTATATTTTCTATCCTTTAACAAGTGTGTTCTTTGTTAATTCAACGCAATACAAATTCGGTTAAATATTAAAGCAATGGCTTTCAGGAATTGAGAGAATTGGTAAATAATAAAATATTTCATCTGTTGCTTTAATCTTACAAGATATTTACACATTTTTTCAAATTGAATTAAAATGTCCAAAATTCAGTTTGCGTGAATAGAGTTCGGAGTAAGACTTAAGAGAAATGAAAGTTGTAACTGAATGTTTTAAAAATGTTCGCAGATACTGTGCTTTTCAGTTGCCGCTCTAGCGTCAGTGTTGTTCTTCCTCGTCTCTTGATGTGCAATAAGTTAACTTCATCAAAATCTGCTCTACGCGATTCGAGAGACCGGTATTGATTGTCATTGAGAATACAGATCAGAGAGAGTTATTCGAAATCAACATAATTGCAATATTATTGAGCCAATTACGTGAATGATGAAAGAAAGCGAGCAAGAGATTGTATGTCGCTCAACAGATTTGTGGAGCTGGGCATTGATTATCTTCAACATTATGTCCTCTTAATACACACCATTGTAGTCTTGATATTTTCTGGGCATTCTGTTAATTGAAAGCAAGCCCGATTAAAATTCGATCGTTTTTGACTTAATTTTTAATGCTAGCTAGTAGAAGTTAGGACTTTGAAAAAAGTGTTGACATACTGGAATATCGCACATATTCGATCAAAATAAATAAGGTTTATGTATATTTTATTGTTTTCTTTTCAATTTCTTAGAAATTTGACTGAGAGCAACGATATGTATCTATATCGCAGACACCGAATCGAACCTGTATCTAGACTACACTGGTAAATGAAAACAAAAACAACAAATGCAATTGCAATAAAAAGGAAAAACGGCTTTATTACACAGCTCCAAAAAGTGCGCTACATTTTTTTCCACAAAAAATTGACATTGCTTCGAGTTTGAGAATTGCTTGAGTTTTAGTAAAAATTTGAAAAGCTAGGACACACATATACACCGCCATACACACACACACTTATATCATTTCATTTTTTTGCACAGCTGCGAAGTTACAGTTGTAATGGTTTTGGACAGAAAAAAAAACAAACTTAAATGGCTTTATATCCCTTTTGAGATAAAGAAAAAACAACAACTATTGCATAAATATAACTATATTGTACCTATGTATATGTACTATGAGATATTAGCCTATATCTGTAATTAGGTGTAACTTTTGTAGTGTATTTGTGTAGCAAACGCGAACTCCACGCCGACCCCTCATTTGATGTTGCAAATACAGTCGACGCATACATAATATACAAGTATTCTAAATATTCAAAAACAAAAAAGGATGAAACACAACCATTGCTGATATCTGACATGTCAAAATATAAATAATTGTTGTTCATTTGTTAAAAAAAAAATTGAACAAAAACAAGAAGCGCACACAAAGAGGAAAATGAGATCAAAGAAAAATTTGCAAAAATTTATAAAAAATGCAACACTTTAGAGAGAATTTTAGCGAAAACTTTTTTGCACCCTCAACCTACTCCCTACCCACTAACTGTTAACTATAACTGTAATTATATACCAATATATATATATATATACACACACACATACATATAGAGAGCAATTTATGGACTCGCGTCAAAGTGTTTTTTAGACGTTATATTTGAAAAGTGTTTATTGGCTTAACACATAACACACCCGTCTTTTATATACCCAACACACACATACATACATATTTAATATGCGTACACACACACACATACATTCGTTTGTGAGCTTTACCCGAAATGTATGCCGCAGCACAATTTTTTTACACATGTCTGTCGGGCATCATTGTATCCTGTTGTATTGTAAAATTGAAGACTCTCTCCCCCACGCTCTCTAAAAAATGCAAGATTAGCTTGTTTACTGAGACCCACACACACACACACACACACAGACAAAAATAAAAAATTTAACTAATCTTGAGACCAATCAGCGTTTATACAAAGAACAAAAATGAACAGAAACAAAAATTGAAAATATTTTGAAATCGTATATTTGTTGCTTAAAACTGAATGGCAAATAGGCGATGAAAATGAATAACTACGACTATATGTAAACTATCATTAACTTTTAAGCCGATTCATCGATAATACGCTGTCTCATTGCAAAATTCTCCTCAGCTGATTTGGGCGTCAATTAAGGCTCTCCCTTTCGCACACATACACACACGAACCCACACTCACGCACAAATTACGAGCGGTGCTTAAAAGCTTTGTAGTGGGAGGAGAGAGTGGGAAGTGGAGAGCGCAAAACTCTGGAGCTGTCCCATTCGCACCAAAACATTGCTTAGCTGAATCATTACTTTCACGAAAAACTAACTCTCTTTCTCTCATTTATGAAAATTCAAAGCGAGTCACGAAGCTGGCTTCGTTGTTGTTCTTTTATGCATCGATCTTGTCGACCAAACATATCGTTTTAACGAATTCTAAAAGGATTAATTTCTCTCTTAAGTCAACAGACAGATGTTGTCGAAATAGAGGGAGAAAAACTCCACCATTACTGCCTATATTTTTATTTAAACTTTTTCTTTTATAAAACTTGTTTTAAAGGTTTTCCGGTAATTTCGGTGACTTTTTCTGCTGCGAATTTTCCACTTTCTACCACTCTCTTCTACACGCTACTAACTCTCTCAGCCACTCCCGCAAATTAGTCTTAGACGATTAAAAAATTAAAAATATGAAAGTTGTAAATGCTGCATAAAATGCCAGCCCTGTGACATACAAACATGCATACATATTATAATTATAATTATTATGTGTAGTTGCCATTTCGTTGTTGTTCGTTTCTGTGTGCGTTTGTTTTTAGGTGGAAAGTAAACGGCAATTTGTTAAATTGTAACTTCTGTCAATTAAATCGTAGACTGGTGCATACCAAGTGTAAAACAAATGACGAACGCGTGTTTTGTTGTTTGCTAAATTCTAAACATGATTATAATTAATCATAAATTGATGAAAAAAACATAACCTCGTATAGTAGAGAGGGGAATTAAGTAGTTTTTGTTTAACTGTCGTTGGGCGAACGGCAGCCGCAATAATTGCTTTTTATATAAATATTTAAAGGCGCTTAGTAAATGTGTATTGTACATACTCGTTATTATTAGCCGTATCACAGAAAAAGTAACTAAAAATGATAAAAGCTTTTGTACAAATAATTCATTAAATATTTGTCGCAAAAGGCAAAACGTGTTGCCTACTTGAAGGCGACATACTGAATAAACTATTGTGAACTGACATCTTTTTTGGTACGCCATTCAACACCGCTATTGTGAATGCAGCGCTAGTCACTTAATAAGAAATTCGAAATTGTATTGAAAAGTAGAAAATTGTTTCTAGTTGTTGCGCACCAAAAACAATTAATATTAGAAACCCAATCGCACAACAGTTAAAAAGTTAATGGAATTATGCATTAAAATAACATTTACAAAAATTATATGTTTAAAACAAAAAGCAATTGCATTGGCAGCTACAAATGGCGTGCATTTCAAATTCAACATTCTTCTGTGTGTGTGAATTTTCATTTCAATCGCAAATTATTTATTGTTTTTAAAGCAAAGTAAGGTGTGAGACGAACAAATGTATAGCAGACTACAAAAACTATTCAGCAGCTAAACTTTAATGGAGTATGAGTATAGTACAGCAAACATAAAGCTACATATAGATGAGAGAAAGAAGTTAAGGGGGGAATTTATTTTTCTACCAACACAAAAAAGTGCAAAGTTAGCAACTCGAAAATAGTTAAAAGATACTAACAGTAAACCCAGTAAGATTCCAATAAGGCAATTAGAGAGCGCATTCCACCGTCTGTACATTGTAAACAGCGACCGCATACATACAACATACATATATTTTTGAAAATGCTATGTGAGAAAAGTGTAATGAAATGAAATGTGAAGTAGAAAGAAAACCACAAAAATAAAACCATATGCAAAAAGTAGCGAGCGCTTCAAGGCCGATATTGCCAAGTGTGTCACGATAATGATGATGACGACGATGTTAAACGAATTGAATGTTCGGTTGTTTGTTTAAGAACACAAAAGATATGATTCTTCAGTTATTATTATTATGATTAATTAAATAAATATACATACATAAATATAAATAAAATATATCTAGTTCATAACAGGCAACAACAAAAAATCATGTGTGCTACAAATAGCTAAGCAACACATTTTCGAAGACAAATGAGAACAGAAACATATATATAAATACTATATATATATATACGATATGTAAATGTAAATTCATTACAAAAATGAACAAATAAAATGTATATTCAAATATCAATTTTGTTGTTTTTGATTTAGAGCTTTCTTGAAAGAAAATAATTTGACAAATCTATTCTTCATTTACAGTTAACATAAACAGTTGCTACCCAACGTGGAGTGGATGGAGTTCCATTTCCCTATTATTTTATTGTTTTTTTTTACACTTCTGGGCTGATCCACACTATTAACTAGTGTTGCCTGGTTACAGGTGACCATAATAAGACTATAATTAATAAGAAAAACACAATTTTTTCATTGTAATCCATTTGCTCAGCATTTCATTTAATAGAAAAATAGACAAATATGCATAAACATACATAATTATAATAGCTTTGTTGTTAAACACAGATTTGCTTAAATGTATACCAATGGTTTTTTTTTTCTGACCAAATTGAATGAGTTGTTTGTATTGGTTTAATAAATCGGCATTGATACAATATTTGAGATGGCCAATTGTTTAGTGTTTTAGCTGTTGCTTCAGTTAAAGATAATACTTTCGTAGCTAACTAGGCGACGGTGAGGGGAAAGTAAACAAAATAGTGAATAATCTATTTAAAACAAACGACTTGAGGGCTGACAAGGCAGTTACCTAAATGTGTACGACTTAAAACGAAATAAACTTATGAACTAAAGGAGCTTTGATTTACTTTTACAATAAGGTGTAGGTGTAGTGTTATAAATAGTATAACTAGATTTTTACAATGTTTATATGCGTATGTTAGTGTGTGTGAGTGTGTTAAATTAATTTACAAATTTTTGGTTGCGGCAGCCAAAGAAGACATTGACATGTTCCATTCGCTAAGATCCTAGCATCGTTGTTTAAATAGTTAAAGAGGTTATCTAATGTACATATATATAGATGTATATGCATACTGTAGTGTTGTTGCTGTTATTTTTGTTGTTGTTGTTCACTACTTAACAGGTACAGAGGCGTTACGTGCATATCTCGCTGCCCGTTGCACAGGAATTGCTGTTTGACGGCACATTTGCGTTTAACGCGCTGCCCGTCGACATGCTGGCAGGCGTTAGGGGTCTGCTGGCGGGAGCTGTGGCTGGGGCGGGTGTTGTGGAGTCGGGTTCGGCCTGTTGCGCTGCAATGGCGTTATTCCGGCTATTCTCTTGCTTGGCACGATTCAGCGCCTCCTCGCGCTCCTTCGCATCGAAATACCACACAGTAATGGCGTAACGTGTACGATGCGCGGGTTGGACTTCGTGCGGATTCCGTATGTCTGACCAGAAGAATATTAAGCGATCGAACTTCGGCTCAATATCAGCCACTGTAGTTCCAGGCGTGGGACGAATTCTAAAACAGATTACAGAGTTTGTTAAATGACTTCCTGACAACATCCCATTCAAAAGGCTAAACTTACCGCAAAATGCCGCCACTCTCGCGCGCATCCCAATTGATATTCAGGTAGTAAATGGCTGTAATAACGCGTCCATCCTTATTCGGATTATCCACATGCATCACATAATGTGTGCCAGAGCCAGGATAGCAAGCGACCATAGCCTGTGGATCAATAAAGCGAACTTATGAGCGACATTTTCAAACATCAAACGTAGCCATACTGATATACAAAGTCAGAGTATTGTAATTCTTTTTTAGCAATTGTTAGACTAGTTCATATTTATGAAACCACACTAAGTTTTATAGCTCGATACTAATAACCAGCTATTAGCTATAGTATTGATGGAGTCATAGAAACTGTCATAGTTACTTATATCAATTCGTTGAGGTTTTGACTTTGTATAGTATGCTGTATTTAGATATTTAGATGTACACACCCTCGTACGCTCTCTGATGTGATAATTGCCAAGGATGCCGTTGTCCTTCATTGTATTCACACGATAAATAACAGAATCAATCTGCAAAAATAAATACATTTTGAGTATATCATAAAGCTACACGTATTTGCTCAGAACGCAACTCATTCCATGAAATTAGTTGTGCTCCGCATAGGGAATTAATTAGTTTCCTCACCTGATTGGTTAAATAGCAAACATTGCTGCAGCCGGGCTCTGTACCACCCACCCATTTGATTTTATCACCACGTATTTTATCACCACGCACCGCCGATCTAGCGTCCGTGCGCATATTGTGGACGAGTTGGCCATCCTGGAAGGCGCCCGAGTTATACATGCAGCCCACCTCATTCAGAATTTGCAGTCCCTTTTCCATGCCCAGGAAGTCGTCGACCACGGAAAGGCCATACTGATTCATATCGTTAATAATGTTCCGACACAAATCCTCATAGCGACGTTCACTGTAAGGGATATGAGAAAAAGAAAAGTAAGTTATATGGTAAAATGTAATAATACATAATTCGTTAAATACTAGAAATAATGAAAATGTATGGGCAGACAGTTCAAATAATTATATCTAGGACACAGTTCGAAAGGTCACCTTGAATCCGACCCAGTGTACAAGTATGTGGATTGAAACCACCCTCGTGAGCCTCGTCTTATTGCCTACGAAATCTCACCGCTTTACGAAGTGCGGCCGGTGATTTATTTATAACCGCGGACAAGTCTGTTAAATTGTAACCTAATTAATATGCAAAAAATAATTATCGCAAATGGTTTTGTAGCGGTACAATATATATAAAATAATTCTTAGTATTATGTTATTTAACATTTTACGACTTTTTTATGATGGGGTCTTTCCATAAAACGTTGCAATTTATTAGACACGTTTCAGTCACGTAGGCCAACAATTTTTCTGGCATACGCAAAAATTCTGGGAGAGCAATAATTAAATCGAGCTATATGTGTATTTTTACAATTATTACCCAGCATCAGATTAATATTGTATAAAAAGAGAGAGGGTTTATAAGAAATGCCGCTAAAAGAGCAGAACAGAGAACATAGTCGACTCGAAATCGCCAAAGAAATACTATAAATGCACATTAATAAGCAAAATCTGGTTTTCGAATGCCCACAAACAATAAATTAGCGGCATGGCTGGAATGGAAAAAAGAATACAACAAAAACAACGCAAAAAAAAAAAAACATTTAGCATCACGGTTCAGTTTTGTAAGGGTGTACTCAGATATCAGCTAGAATCAAGACTATATGTTAATATTTACCGTTTGTCCAACAATTCACGAAAGTATTGTTCGGCATTTGCTGGATGCGCGGTATGCTTGAAGAAATTTGTATAATCCGTTGTTGAAGAGGTAATCATTGTATTAGGATTTGTTTATTTAGATTTAGTGTCCTTTTTAAATAATATTATTGTTTTTTAAGTACTTAAGATTAAAGGAACTTTGTATATTTGAGTTGAATACACTTTAAAGAATTGCATAAAGTTCTTTAAAAAGTTTATTTTCGTGTTCTTTCTAAAACAATTCACGCATAACTGTAGAAAGTTTCAATTTGCAACCGAGTTTTATTTCTTTTGCGGCATTTGGAAAAGAGCGAGAGAGAGAGCAGGCAGGTAAATATCGTATATCGGCACAAGTTAGACAGTGTTGGCTAACTACTTAGCAGCTGTTTCTGTTTTTATTTCTTTCTTTTATTTATTTTTCTTTTATTATTCACGTTTGTTTATTGTTTTTGCTTAAGTTGCTGCACAACTTATTTGTTTATGCAAAAAATAAAAATAAATTGTTGCTGGCGATATCACGCCGCATTGATAATAAAGTGGACCGCACACGTTCACGGCACACAGACGAATGCCAAGTCATTTGGTAGCATAAGCTAGCACTCGACGAAGTTGACGTCTCTGCCGCTGTCAAAGCCAACGTCGCCGCCGTCACCAACGTCACACGCATTCACACTCTGTATACCCTGTGTTTTAAGAGCATTGAGAATATACACGTATTTGGGTACGCAAATGTATTCAACAAGCAACGTTAAGCATGAATATAGTATATAAAGTCCACCCAAAAAGAAAATAATTTCTTCATCAGCGGGGTAAATCGATTACATTTAAAATTTTCTTTAATAAATTTTAGCTCCTGCTTCCGACTTCCGACATGCATTTTTATTTTTAAACATTACCCGTTAAACACAACCTATTGCATTGTCTTAGCTCCTGAAAGCAACTTGAGCTGTTAAGATAAATATATACAAATGTAAATTCACAATCTAAAGAGTATTTAACTGTCGCGCTTTCCCACCTATAAATTCTCGTTCAAGCGTGTGAGAGAGGGATTAGAGTGCAAGTGTTGGGGCCTGGGAGACAACAGCTAACTCGATAAGCGCCGCAAGGTTTCGTACATTTGAAACAACTACAAACAGATAAGAAAACGAAACTATTAAAAATTCAACACATACATAATTTTGTGATTTGCACAGTGCCGTTTTAAAGCAACTAACAACAACAAAAAATTTGCAAATATTTTTAAATGCTGATAGCTCTGAAATCGCTTTATTTACACTATCAAACAATGTTTGGATTTGTTGTTGCAGTTGCTTGTTTCCGCATGCCCTTCACACGCTTGCAACGCCCACAAACCAATACAAACAAATAAGAAACAAGCAAAGCAAACACAAAACGCAATACACGCTCATGTTGTCACGTAGCCCAAAAGCCGCAACAGGCACACAGTGTATATCTACATTCATACATACATACATACACATACGCACTTCGCTGCGCGTTAGACGAGCAACACGAGAAGGAAGGGAATGAGGGCGGCGGACAGCAAAAACATTCGAAAATGTTTTAACAAAGCAGAAAAAAAACACAAAACAGACATATGAAAATGAAGAAGAAACGTCAACATTAAACATTAACAACGTCCATACTGTTAAGCAGACAGCACTAGAGATGAGCCTGGCCTCGCATAACATGGCCACAAAATGGCACGTAATTTCGTTTTCGATTAATGATAATTATGACATGTAATAATAATGAGAATTAATATGGATGATTAATTCCCAAGTGTTTAGGACATCTAATAAAAAAAATAAATAATATTCATAATTAATTTAAACGTTTTTCGGAAACTGAAACAGTTTAAGTGACAGATCTGGAAATAGAGCTGCTATTTCTAAAAGATACATATTCTCGCATAAAAATTTAAAACCGAATAATTGTAAGCATTTTCACATTATACACTTTTAAAGATACAAGTATGTGCAGAGTACTCGTATTGTTTAATGAGAAAATTTGAAGATTTTTTGTTTGATTATTCATGATTTTTATACTTTCTTTCGGTCTAGCACGAATACCATATTTTTGTTAAGCACATCCCATGCACATCACTAGTTGGCACGTACAACAACGTTTGTGTTAAAATAGGTCAATAGCCCAGTTCAAAGACGCTGCGAGCAAAACGTGGATTCAGTCACAAGCACACACACAGATACACACGTAAATACACATACTATACATACATACCAGTACATATGTTCACATATATATTTCTATCTGTAGAAGCGCTAATTAAATCAAAGGGCTCCAAGCAACAAAAGGGCATACATACATAACTTTATATGTATATGTGTATGTATGTATGTATCTATGCTGGCGTAGACAGATTGTAGCCCTTCATTTGATCTATTACTACGTGATACTACGTCAAACGCGGCACGTGCACCAAAAGCACAGACGAGTTTTTCCATTCATGATGGGAAGAGAGGCAGAGGGTGTAGATTTGACGCACTCACGACCTTCTTGAGGGCTTGTCAGTTAGGCAAAAGGAGAATTTACCTGCTCGGTTGCACGCAAAAGACATGTAACAGCTGTAGCGGTGCGCAGGCGCCTCCCCTACATAAGCAGATTGAATCGATTAACATACATAGTACATACATACATATATATGTTTGTATGTGTGACCATTAACAGAAATCTATGTAGTGGCGAAACTGCATTAACATTACAGCTTATTTAAGGCACTTAACTCTACTTCTAAAGGCATTGTAAAACACTTTTGGATTTCTATACAGATTAAAATATGTATAATACTTCATTTTGTGTGTAGTTAATTTTTGAAATCAGCGTAGATAATAAAAATATAATCTCGATAGTTTAAACAACGCACTTACGCATTTATTCTCACATTCATTTCATTCTCATTAAAGACTTTGTCACCCAGATAAAACTTTTATTTACTACCTCAGATTTTTGTTTATTTATATAGTATGATGTATTTTTGGAACATCTCGTTAAAAAGAAACTAATGATTAAAATTATATTTCGTACCTTCTTTTAGGGATTTTTCTCTGCCCCGAGGTTACACTTAAGTACCGTTTCAATCTTTTGCCACTAAGTTTTTACCACGTCAAAAGTTTTCTTATACTCGTACTAACCGTAATAGTCTAGCTCGCTGGCAGTATGTTGTTGGTTAACATTTATGTTAACCGCATGTTAAACGAACAGACAGCCAACATTTCTGGTTGGTTCCCATTTGTTCATTTTGGTTTCTTTTTTAGCTGCCTTTTTCAGTAATTTTTGTTATAATTTGCTATTTTTGCGCAATTTTGTGTTTTCATTTATTTATTTGGTCCGCGTGACTTAAACCAACAGTTGGTCAATCAATTTAACACAGCTTAGATAAATTAGCAGCAAATCTGTTAATATTGTTGTTGGTATTAAAAATATATATGTACATATGCTACGAGTACATATAAAAAAACTATGCGACATGAGATCATGCCACATATACACAGAATAGAGATGCTAATGTTTATTAAACAATAACAAACGTGCCTCACAACTATCTCAAGATGTTAGGCATTTAAGATTATTATCACGGCATACATATGTACATATACACGATTTTAATTTAATGCACAAATGATAAGGCGGTGCCTTGGCTCCGAAAATATCAAGCACGTACACAGGCGTTATAAGTGATACGTAGCAGAAAAAACGGATAGCGATTAGAACAAATACAATCACAACCTCAACACGCCAGAAATTTGCGAGACTTATCGATGAATCAGCTGGCACTGCATTCTGAGAAATTGGAAATTGCGTACATGCGAAAAGAATGTGAATTGCACTTATGTATATATACTTACCTACATACACATAGACACAAGCGATCAAAGTAACAGATACTGTATATTAACTTTGTCTAGAGATACATTTTTTACGACGTGCCAAACAAACAAGCATCAGCAATTCACTGTCTTGTGATATACAAGTACTTGTACCTACATATGTATACACATATGTATGTATGTATGGTTCAAAAAAATTTAATTATTTGTTTTGATAAAAAAAAGCATTAGGACTAGCTAGGTATTTTAACAGGAGTTGACAAACTAATTCAGAAAGTAAGTAAAAATAACAGCTAAGTAGATGTGTAAATAATTATTATTTGCTCCATTTTAAATGGAGCTTTTTAAGCCCTTTTTTAGCTTCCAATGCGTACCCAATATACTTGCAACTAAGGCTTTAAATGGAAACAAACGGAAATATTCCACGGTAAGTGTATCTCTTCCTTTTATCTGTATATCGACAACTAGAAGGTATTGCCCGTCTTATGATGGGCTTAATATTTTTGCTTACAATTATAAGTTGCATTTCTCTTCCGAAACTTTTTTAAAATTTCTAAAGGAACTGCCAATAGCAAATTACTTTGGTACGTTCCTATACATACATATGTATATTGTATGTACATACATATGTATGTACATTTCTGAAAAATAAAAATTATAATACTTTGAAATTAAATTGTGAAATTTTTAAAAAATTAAATAAAAATATTGTGGTCGCCTTCCTCTGCGATTCTCATACCAAGTACCTAAGTGCTGGCAAATTGAGAATGAAATAGTGCAATTTTTAAAAAATGTACTAATAAATTTTTGAATGTAAATTGTGCAATTTCTGATAAATTAAATCAAAATATTGTGGGCGCCCTCCTCTGCGATTCTCATACTAAGTACTTAAGTGCTGGCAAATCGAGAATAAATAAGTGCAATTTTTAAAAAATTTACTAATAAATTTTTGAATTTAAATTGTTCAATTTCTGATAAATTAAATCAAAATATTGTGGGCGTCCTCCTCTGCGATTCTCATACTAAGTACTTAAGTGCTGGCAAATCGAGAATGAATAAGTGCAATTTTTAAAAAATTTACTAATAATTTTGTGGATTTAAATTGTGAAAGTTCTGATAAATTAAATCAAAATATTGTGGGCGCCCTCCTCTGCGATTCTCATACCAAGTACCTAAGCGCTAGAAAATCGAGAATTAAATTGTGAAATTTCTAAAAAAAAAAATAATAATAAATTTGTGGATTTAAATTGTGAAAGTTCTGATACATTAAATCAAAATATTGTGGGCGCCCTCCTCTGCGATTCTCATACCAAGTACCTAAGCCCTGCAAACCCGCTTCTTAGTGCTCACCTACACAATAAAAGACAACTTTTGCCCAAATTTTAGCTTACTAGCCCTTACCGTTTGGGCTGTGCGTTCATCAGTCAGTCAGGACAAACTGTTTTATATATATGTATGTATGTATAGAGATTTATCTGTTCACACAACTAATTAAATAAAATGTATCAACAATTTTGGTTACAAACTGCGCAACAAAATAATTTCAACGGCAGCGACAGAAACGCAATAAAAACAAGAATGGAGTACTAAAGTCAAGTGGACCGAACTCTTGAATACACTTTAGATATTTCCACAAAAATAATATTAAATTTTTTTTTTTAATTTAATTTTGCAATACTAAATTAATTAATTAAATTAAAATATTGCGCGGGATAGCAGGTACATAGGTGTGCCTGTTTTTCCGCATGTAAGTGAGGAATGCTTCGGGAAAAAAGACAGAATGCCAAGGTTACTCCAGCTCTAAGTTTTCTAAGATCCTTGCGTTCATACAGACAGACGGGCGGACATGGCTATATCGACGCGTCATACTAATAAAGAATATTTGTATATCATTTGTGGAGTCTGCCACGCATAGTTCTGTGTGTTACATACATTCGTACTAGACTAGTATACCCTTTTTCCCGTTGGGTACAGGGTATACTAATTACAAGATGTGGAGAGGTGTGAAGCTAACGTCGGCGCCAAGTTATAAAGCTGACGCCAATTACGACGCCTACGTAATGAGTGTGTACGTGCCGGCCATATGCGTTGCATTGCAGTGCACGTAATGCCTTTCTTTGAGACACACACCACACATACATATTTATGTCTATATGTACATATACAACACGCCTTCGATTGTGCATTTACTACTACTCCTAAAGTTAATCTAATCAGAATGCAAATATTTGTTTATGTCAATGCCAACAAAAACAAAGAAAGAGAGAGAGAGAAAAAGAGAGAGAGAGAGAGAGAGTGGGAAAGTGGCGACTGCGACGGCGACAGCGCTGCTTCATAAATTAACAGCTGGCAGTGAACTCTAGCAGAACTGCAGTCATCAACGTTTGCTTAGTGGGAACGGCACGTATTGCTTATCGCCAACAATTCGCAAAAATGTCGAAGGAGGCAAAAAGGGGTCAGACCAGAAGACTTGCTAATCTGAGAAATGAGCTCGTAGAATTTATACCTTACAAATAAAAGTGTTTGAAGAGGTGAACGCGTAAATTGGCCACCGATTTCAAGTAGGTGTATTGATAAGATGCGAGTTTTAGAAACGAAGCAACTTAATAATATAGCAGGTATGTACTTATGTGTATCGGCCAAGAATAACGCTCTGGAAATACTATGATGGTTGGTATAGTAACAAGCATTGCCAAAATAAGGCCTCAAAGGTATATTTTTCAGGTATAATTAATGATCATTAAATAAATAATACATAGTCTTCAATAGTAATTAAATTAAAAATTTATTAATTAATATTAAAATCTATTATAACAAGAAAGGAATGCTAAAGTCGAGCAGGCTCAACTCTTAAATACCCTGTACCACCCCACAAAAAAGAAATTAAATTAATTTAAATAAATTAAATTAATTAACTAAATTGGATCAGAAAAAATTAGCAAACTCGTCCTTTCTCGGGCTCAGGAGAATCTGTATACCAAGTTTGGTTGTTCTAGCTCTTATACTTTCTGAGATCCTTGCGTTCATACAGACAGACAGACAGACGGACATGGCTATATCGACTCGGCTTATCATGCTGATCAAGAATATATATACTTTGTGGGGTCTACAAAGCCTCCTTCAGTGTGTTCCATGTGCACTCGCACAAAACTAATATAGCCTTGTACCCTTTGGGTACAAGGTATAAAAATCCATACCTGTTTGATTTAATTAGAATTAAGGAACTGAGATCGATTCTAGGTGAGATTGAAAATTATGGAGTGTTAAATTTAAACGCTGCAGTATTATATGTTCTTTCTTGTATATCATAATTTTGATCACTATGATCTGATATCATTGAACAAAATTGTTAACAAATTCCCAATTTGTTGCAAGGCTGTACAGAGTGTATGATTGTATTGTCAGTGCAGGTAGCACCAGATTGCTCCAAATTATGTTTACTCGAAAAATTGTTCAAAAATACACGTTTCATTTAAAGCCAAAGGCACACACACAGATTACCTGTGCACCATTATTGTAGACACTTAACCAAACCACATCAAATAACTAAATTCGCTAGATCAGCCAGAAAAGGGGACTGGTGAACAAAATTTGTGAATTTTCGACATCAACATGGTCGAATACAATCGCCAGCCGTGTCCCATACGGATTGTAGAGGACTGTGGCTGTGCCTTCATGATGGGCTGCATCGGTGGCTCACTCTTTCAATATATTAAGGGATTTCGGAATGCGCCGACGGGTCTGACTCGCCGGCTCTATAGCGGCGTGGATGCGGTCAAAATGAAGACACCAGCAATAGCAGGCAGCTTTGCCATCTGGGGCGCCACCTTCAGTACCGTGGACTGTGCAATGGTCTATTATAGACAGAAGGAAGACTCGTGGAATTCGATAGTCAGTGGCGCTGCTACGGGCGGCATTCTCGCAGCGCGCAACGGACTCAAGGCAATGGCCAACAGCGCATTTGTTGGGGGTCTGGTGCTGGCGATGATCGAGGGCGCTGGCGCAGCAGTGGCCACCATATATGCCGCCGAGTCCCTGGAAGACGCAAGCAAGCCGCAGCGTCCTCAATGGGATTATGTTGACTGTGAAAACAGTTTGGCCAAGAATGAAGAAATTCTAGACTTGGATGCAAGAGCGGTACAGGAAATTGTCAAGTTTTCGGAACAATGCAAGGTCTATACGCCACTGGTGGTGGCACATCCCGTTGATAAGGAGAACGAGGAAGAGGTGGAGCAAAAGGAAGAGCCGCAGGAGCAGCCTTTGTCCCTGCTGGAGAAGGTGAAGCTAGCGAATCTATTTTAAACTTTTCTTCCGGCCGTTTTACGTTCAAAATTATGTGCATGTATTGACGTTGAGTAACAAATATGGAGCATTGCGTCCCTCCTCGTATAAGTATTTCTAGATATATATGTATATATATATATTTTGTAAGCCCCTCACGTCTGAAGAGCAGTAAAAAACTACGTCAGTCATTGTGCGGTAGCAATAGAAAGACAAATACTCGTATACATAAATATAAAGAGTAAGAGAGTTCACTCACCTGCCGGTGCCCATGAAATTGGCATCCGTCATGCCAATCTGATAGCTGGAGCTTTTCTCGCTCTGATTCCGGCTCTGACTGCTACTTGCACTGCTGGGCGGTGCCGGCGGTGGTGGCATCAGTTTGTTATCCATATTATAGCTATTGCTATTAACTATAGCTGGCACTGATGCGTCCGACGCACTGTCCAGATAGTTTAACAAATTGTTCATCTCATTAGGCCAGCTCTGGGCCTGGGCTGCGGGCGTCATCATTTGCGCTGTGGAGCAATTGGCCCCGTTGTGACCTCCATCCAACGACGTGGCTGCCACTGCCTGCTGCAACTGTTGCATTTGTTGCATCTTATTGTTGTTTTTCTGGCGCGCCAGCAAGCGACACTCCTGGCGATGCGAGGACCAGTCGATGTGCTGATGATTTGTGGAGCAGTAGTAGATGGTTTTGCATTTGGCACAGCGAAGCAGCTGCTCGGTAGTGCCGCAGATGGCACAGCGGGGCGTCTGTATCTGTTTTTGTTGTCTCTCCATGCCCGAGATGAACCGTGCGTGTCCTTGCCTTGTCCCCTGGTCTTAGTTGCTTAAGCGGCGCACACACATACTCGCATTGGCGTCTACGACTTCGACCGAATTTAACCTTGAACGCGTCGTCACAGCGACACCGATTTCGAGTGGGTGTTTTTTCTTGCTTGCAGCCCCGCACCCGTTCTCACACTCTCTTGCACACACACGCACAACAACAACAACAACAAATACTGTTTATCGCGTTTGCAGCTGTTCTCGAGGCGCATTCAGTTTTTTTTGCAATTATAGCGAAATGCGATGGTTTTGGCCAATTTGCTATTTACACAATTTCACCAACAGCGCCAACAACACATACATACATACATGTGCATTCATGCATATGTATGTATTTAAATCACGTAGGCCACTAAACAATATTAAAATAAACTGCCTATTTGTTGTTGTGTTTGGTTTTATGCTCGTTGGTTTTTTGCGCTCAATTTGATGTTGCGTGCTTCTTTCACAGCCCTTTATAGATTATTGCACTGCTTTGACATTTATTGCTACGTGGCACTTTGCTATTTTGCGCAAAAATCCTTATTTCAATCAATGCAAAACAAAAAAAGTGAAAATTATTAAAATACAATTTCAGTGCTGGATAATGTTCCAAGCCGCACTATGCTAACCAGCACTGCTTTGCGCGTCGCCAATAGTGGTGTGCTAAGTGATACGTCAGCTATCGACTTCGAGTCTTTGTCATCGCTGTTATCAGCTGTTTGTGCCGCTTATCTTGTAAATATTGCTCTGCATAGATTACTGTGGAACTGTGTATTAACATCATGCCGAAATCTCTAGAACTTATAGCCAAAGTAGTCTTAGTGGACATTGAAGGCACAACTACTTCTATCAGCTTTGTTCACGATGTCCTCTTTCCGTATGCTAAGAAAAATGCATTTACATTTTTGAAGGACACTTGGTCATCTGATGAGACGCAGAGACTCGTCCAAGAGTTGATGGGGACGCCGCAGTACGTTGAATATGCAGCGACTATGAACACTGATGGCGCTAAAATTGATAACGTCACCGCTTTCATACACTATCTTATCGACAAGGATTTGAAGGTGACGCCGCTGAAAACGTTGCAAGGACTAATTTGGGCGAAGGGATATACAGCTGGTCAGCTAAAGGGACAGTGAGTATGGCACGATCGTTCAATACATATTATTTTAAAACTATTTGCTGGCAGCGTGTACGAGGATGTGCCTGTGACTTTTCAATCCTGGCGTGAAGCCGGGCTTATAATTGCCGTCTACTCCAGTGGCAGTGTAGCTGCACAAAAGCTAATCTTTGGTCACAGCATAGCTGGTAATCTGTTGCCACACATCAGCGCACACTTCGACACCCACGTGGGCCATAAACAGCAAGAAGAGTCCTATACCAACATAGCAAAGGCGCTGAACGTGCCTCCAGAGGAGGTGCTTTTTCTAACGGATGTGGTGGGAGGTTTGTTACACGTTTTACTGCTCCACGCTATCGGTCACTTTTATTGATATTTACAGAAGCGGCAGCAGCGCGTGCAGCCGGCATGCAATCTGTAATACTGCAACGACCGGGAAATGCTCCATTAACCGCAGATCAAACAGCTTCCCACAAAATTGCTGACAATTTTCTGCAGTTGCGTTTGAGCAAAACGCCCTGAATAAAATGTTTTCTACTATACATACTAGAACGGATCAAAAAACTATATTTATGACTAATGCTGTCTGTTTTATAAAAAAGCACGATCTACGCTGCACAGTTCGTCGGCACTATCATGCATATCGGGTTCGTGCCGACAGGAAGCCTTGGAGCTGCGGTGGGATTGCCGTGAACAGGACTTTACTGTGCTGCCAGAGCCGTAGATTTTGCGTAGCTGCTGAAACTTGTTGCTATTGGCGCCATCGTTGGCCACCGTCGGGCAACGACTACTACGATTCGTGCTTGCTCCGCACTTCTTTTTGCTACTGCGCTGTTTGCTCCGCTGCTGATTGCTGAGACATGCATGTTGGAGGCCCTCGCTACGACACGTGTGCGTCAGCTTGCCCACCTCCGGACCCCAGTAGGTGGGACCTTCCAGCAATAGCGGCGCCGATTTTACACGCTGCCTCATCATTTCCATGTGCAACTCATATTCCCGCTCCTGCAGCGCTTGCTCCGCCTTGCGCGAAGCCAAACGTATGGACAGCAAAGCTTTGTGCGACTCACTATAGTAAAGTTTGCCAATGGAAACTATTAATATCTAGGAATAGGATTCGCGGCATACTTACTTGAGCGAAAGGGATTTCCATGCAGGCGTTTTGCGCACCTCCCAATCGAATTGTGGTGTCGGATCATGGTAGGTACAATTATTCTTTAACTCCTTTACCTTCTTGCGAGACACTTCCGCACGTAAAGTGGCCGCCAGATTCGGTCGTGCCACGGGATGCATGGGCGAAGCGCTGCTATTGGCATGTGATGCGGCACGTCTGGGCGACTCAAGTTGGAAAATGCTTAGTGGTGCCTTGATATGAGCATCTTCCGTCTTGGGTTTGCTTTTCGCACGTCTGGCACGGCCACGCACACGACTGGATGCGGCGCTGCTACTGCGTTTGGAAGACACTGAAGGGGATTCAATGTGGATTTTGGGCACATCACTGGACGCGGCGCGTGTAGGAAAGTAAATGCTTTGATGTGCCAAGCTTTGCGGCTTTGTAGGTATTTCCTCACAGGCTATGCCCTGTAAATCGTTTACCGAGAGGGATCTGCGAAGCCTTTCGCGGCGACATTTTGCGCGCTCTGCAGTGTGCTGAGCGGGCGCCTTGCTGGTCTGTGTACTGCTGGTGCTTGTGGTTGTTGCTTTGTGACGCTCTCGCTTAGACGTATTTTCCGTGCGTTTGAATTCCTGCTCAAAGTCCTTCAATGTTCGCTTAAAATCGGCCACTTCGACAGCAAAGTCATGCTTAAAGCTATTCAAACGACTCAAGTCCCGTAGGCAACGGCTGTACTCATCATTTAGGCATAAGTTGGGGGTAGCGGCGGGTATGATGATGGGCTCGCAGTGGTTGGGAGGCAATTTATGGCACACCTGATGAGCTACGGGTGGCGGTGTCGGTACCGGCACCGGTTCCATTGGCTGCGAAATGGGCGTAATATTAGGCGCCAGAAATAAGGGCGCCTTTTTCTTTTTGCTCTTCGCACTCCCAGCTCGCTTTTTCGATTTGCTCTTCACAGCTATGCCACAATAGTTGGCCAAGGCATTTGTGCCAACCGCACTTGTACATCTCTCCAGCGGATTGGCTTGACTGCGCAGCTCACGGCTGGTGGATCGAAGACGCTGCAATGTGGAATAAAACTCAGCCTGATGCAGATGCTTCACATCAGAGTAATCTGAAAGGAATTTTATAATACAGATAGGTTTTGAAAGAGCTTAAAGCCGTTCTTCAGATACAAATTGCGATAAAAGGACAAACTCAACTTACAATTGATTACTTTCTTGTTTAAATTAATAGATTAAAAGGATAACAAGATTTTATTTGGGGGGAAATATGAATAAAAGCATTATTATAATGTAGCTAGTAATCGTAATTGGCTAGGAATTGTGAATATATATATATATGAAATCGAAGTCTAACTTTCGAGTCACTTAGAACGCGAAGAATGGCTTCAATTTATTTTAAGATATATAGATATATATAGATATAGATATATATATAGATATAGATAGAGAGAGATAGAGAGAGAGATATATAGAGAGATAGAGATATAGATAGAGATATATATCTATATAGATATAGATATTCTATATATATATATATATATATATATCTATCTATATATATATCTCTCTCTATATATATATAATATATATATATATATATATATATATATATATATATATATATATATTTAAATAGTTGTCAAAGTTGCTAAGTTTAAGCTTAGCTTAATTTAAATAGAAACTAATTGTTATTTGAATACCTTTAAAAAATAAATAAGGTCGCTCTTATTACTGCTTGTTACTAATTTTTAGCACTATTAATTATTTTTTCTACCAATAACAGCTATTTGTTCACCTTCAATCACTTGCAGGACCGTAAATCGAAAAATCTCACCTGGAATGCTGTCATAGAACTTGGCCAAGGATCGTATGCCCGTATTGTTGGTCCATGTTTGTCCCGTTTCCGTATCCGCTTTAGTGCGCGCCTTGCCCTTATTATGACATGGCTGCTTATTTGTTGCTGTTGTTGTTGACGTTTGCTTGCCCATATATGTTTTGGGTCGATTATAAATCGGTGCTGGACAATTATTGCAGGGATCTATGGGCACAGTGATGCAGGAATTTAAATATGTACGTCCAGTATGAGCGCGAGTGCCCATCATTCCCATATAATTGAAGCAATGCACTCCTCCGAACGTGCTTTATCAATATTCTATATAGTCGTTTGTTGGGCCAACTGTTGCCATCGGTAACGCTTACGCTAAATTTCTTGTTTTTGTGCACTTCCGTTTTAGGCTGCCATTTCGCAGGGTGCGTAAAGCGTCCCATCAAGGCGCAAAGTATCCAAGAAGTATTCCTAGTTACGCCTTCAAATTATACAGCAATTATCATACATAGGTATGTATGTATGTATTTGCTTCACATATCGGTCGCCAAGTGTCACGTAAGACGCGCCAACAAGCCCCAACTTTCTCTCCCACACCATATAAGTTCAACACCGCGTTTCAAACAGCACAATGCAATAAGAAAAGAGGCGAGTTGGTCATATGGGTTTCACTTATCCACTAAAAATCGCCCTTTAAGAAGTCATTTAATTAAGAAAAAATATCTATTTTAGGGAGTTCTTATTTCTAACCACAGATAGTTATACTGCTTTTTAAAAGAATAAGGAATATACATACAGAGTATGTATTTATATTTTTCTGCGGTCTACCAATAAATAAAAAGTGTAAAATAAAATCAATAATTATTTCTTCCAGTTCAAATGAGGAATCTTGTGGCTCAGAATTAGCCATTTCCGATCCTGGCCTGCTAGCATAGAAAGTTACGATCCTTACTATACATTTAATTATTGCCCTTCATCAATGTAAAATAGGCAAACCATCAGCTTTTATCTTTCTGAACGATGCAGAAATTTTCTAAATAGGTATGATTATGAAGCGGTTTGGGAAAATTTTTAGGTTTCAAATTAACTTGACCAGAAAATATTTGCAAATGAAGTGTGAAAAGCATTTGATTTGACTGAATAATTTTATATAAAGTAATGTTCAAGTTAAGAGACTCGAAATAAAATTATGTTATAATAAATATTATATGTCCATTTTCACATTCAGATCTAGGAGTTATTTCACCCATAGAATTTAGTCGAAAAATGTTTTAAAAGTTGATTCATTTATTTATACATTTATTATGTAGATATATATGTATAGGTATATTTTATTATAATAAATTGCATATTTATCGATTGTTTGTGGAGCTTAATTACTTTGTTTTTGTTTTGGGTTGTTATATGCTTTGTTTTACATATGTATGTATTTGGATTTAAATGCATTTTATTTGTAATTTACATTACAGAATAAAATTTAATTTGCGCCGAATTTACTTTGAACGCAACACGAATCACAAAATTTACAAACTACCGACTAAATGCGCAGACATGATTTAAAAACACACCTGTTGTAGCTACATACAATATTTATAGATGTAAGTATATATATATATAAATCAGGTCTTGGATGCCTACACTCCCAGACCATTTGAATTTTAATTTTGTAACTATTCTTAAAGATTACGCTTCTTGAGTCTGCGAAATTCTATTACGTACACAATTATGTATTGTATGTCTTTTGTTTGCAGAATTGCACAAATATTGAATATTGTAAATTGTTGAGTACAGAGATAGTACGAACATGATGTTTAAAATACAATTAGAGTTTCTTTAAAATGGCAAAGTTTGTTCGTATGTATATGTGTATATGAGTGGTTAGTAGAGTGCATATTTATGTATATTGAGTATGCTGTGTATAATTTAAAACTAGACGGTGCATGCATAAAATACTACATGTGAGTGAAATAATACATTCTGTAACGATAGTTTTAAAAGCATGCTGAATCTCAAAAACAAACATTGAGGAATTGTGCTTGTTAAAAGGCAAGAAAACGTGATTCATAGGCAGTATAAAATGACGAAGATAACAAATAAGACATGTAATACGGAAGTATTTGAGCACTGCACAATGTGTGGTGTTTGGCACACCAATACCAATATTTTAGACCAGATTTATGGACTCTTCATTCTCTGTGTCCCAGTCCGATAGTTCCGCCCATTCAAGTGTGGTTGTAGTAGTCGTCGTATGTGTACCCGTACATCGGGTGCTATGGAACTCACGCCGACCACCGGGACTTCTGCAAATCGATCTGTCCCTCGAGAGTTTTGGCCAAATAGATGACAAACAGTTGGATGAGCGCTATGCCCAACAACATGCCTGCAATAACATACAAGTTACGCTCGGCCCACACATGGATGATCTCAATGCAGCCCGACGTCCAGATGCGTTTGCTGGCGGCTGCCACCGAATGCTCCTGCACACCATAGCCGCACATAATGTTGACTAGACCAGAGCTAATGTCTGTGGCATTGATGCAACAGCTGTAGGGTACTCCACACTTCTCCACCGATGGCGACGTGCAATTAAAATACTCGTTCTTGCTCCAGTCCTGATAGCCACCATTGCTCAGGCCACAGCATTTGAACTCCTGTTGGGCAAAGTCAATGAAATTTTGCAGATCGCTATCGTCGCGATAGGAGTGTATTATCTTATCCGTGAACTTCTCCTCCAGAAAAGAGTTCATATTCTGCGGGAACACAAAGCCCACGATGGCTGCATACCAGACAATAATTTGTAAATATCATTTCTGATCAATTAAAATACCTAAAACAACTTACCTATGGCCATTTCCATAAGGAAGAATATCAGCAGACACAAGGAATAGAACTTAAGCAAACATGTATTTTCGCGCAGTGCACCCAAACAACCTGCAAAGCTGACTACAAACACCACTATTCCCGTTATAATCATGACCAGCGATATATTCAAAACAACATCGTAAATGGTCTCCACTCGCACCCAGCCATTTGCCTCCCATTTGTCCATGAAAGCGTAGATACCAATGCCGAGTAGAATACCGCCAAAGAGCCAAAAGAGGAAGTTCAACAGGAATATCAAGTACTTCACACAGGAGCTCACATACGTGAAATGGTGTGGATGTGGGTGGCGCTCGATGCCACAATAGCCACCACCACCGCCATGATGTCTGTAGTTGCTCATGGCTTTGCTGTTAGTTTGTTTTGGGTCTTTTCTTACGCAGTTTTTTTTTAAATCAATAGAACTTTAACTTCTCCAGCGATTGCGATCTCGAATGAGTATTTATCAGCTCTCTTCCTCTTTTTTTTTACTTTGTGTTCATGTAAAAACGCCTTCTTTGCATGGGGCCTTTTTCGCCAATCAAATTTCACACTACAGCGCACACGCTCATCAATAAACCGTATAATTCGTGCTTGTACATTGTGTTTGCATGTGCGCTATCCAATTAGGTATTATTTTTATGCAATACCATTTGCCTAAATTTCGTTTTCTTTCCTCTTAATAAGCACAGCCACGCAACAAAAACAACAAAGCTCAAACGGCATTGCCAGCTCGTCTGCAGCTGGTTGGTATAGCAATGGTTTGTATTGTTGGATGGTTGGCAACGCCACCGTTCAATCAGCTGTTGCGCGCTGCTCTTTATTTAAAATCACAAAAGTTGTAATTTGTGTATAAAGAGTGGTGGTAGCGTGCTAACAACGACCTTTGAGCAACAACAATATCAACGCTTTATAAATATAAACGTGAAATGATTCAACCAGCCACATTAATCGATTAGATAATTGGGGTTCAGAAACTAAAAGCTAGCGATAAGCAAATCGACACCAATAACTGATAAGCCCGTGCTTAAACATTAAAGCAACTGCAATAGGCTTCCCTCCGTGCATATTGGGCTCGTTTCGTTGCGTCAACGTCAGCCATGAATTTCCTGCTGCGTTTCATAATCTTTTGCTTTGATCCGCTCGGCATTGGACGACGCTTCTTGGTGAAACCGGCTGTCAATTTGTCACTCAATGTCTACGATCGTCTACGGAGCAAGGCAGATGAAAAAGTTGGCTCCATAAGGGAGGTGGTGCTGCGCGTCGGGTTGATTGCATTTGCTGTTATATTAATAATCTGGCTGGCTGTGTTCCTGTACGTGGCTTTCTATTATAGCTACATGCCGGCCTTATCACATACCCGACCCGTCCACATGCAGTTCAAGTGAGCACAAAATAGCATCTAAATTGTTCCAAATAAAATAAAAAAACCTCTATCTCGTACGTTTTTACGCAGAACCTGCTTGGAAACGAGTTCGCCCTGCAGCTTTCCACACGCCCATGTCTCGCTGACCAAGAAGCAGCAACTCTTAATGGTCGGTCAAGCCTATAGGGTCATTGTTAACATAGATATGCCCGAATCGCCGCAGAATCTGGAGCTAGGCATGTTCATGGTATGTGCTGAGATGCGCGACTACGACTCTATGCTGCGTGGACACTCGTGTCGCTCGGCTATGATGCGTTACCACTCGCCTCTGATACGTCTGATCACTACCTGGGCGTTGAGTCCACTCTACGTGCTCGGCTGGAAGGAGGAATTCCAACAGGTGCCCGTTGAGATATTCTCGCGGTATCTGGAGGAGCGCCAGCACCCGATTACCGATGTCTACGTCGAGATACAGTCACAAAAAATACAATTCTATACGGTAACATTGCATATCGTGGCCGACTTCACAGGTTTACGCTATATAATGTTCAACTGGCCCGTCCTCTCGGCCGTTGTGGGTAAGTTTGCAGCGAAATTTTGGCTTTGTAGCATGCTATTCTATAGCTTGAGGTGTCTTTTCAGCCATTAGCACCAACCTATTCTTTATATTGGTCATATTTTTGCTGAGCTGGTATCATTGGTCTTGGCCAGAGGCCAGTTGGCTGCAGGCATTGCAAACCAAATACACTAGTCTGCAGCGCAGGACGAGCGCCAGCAGTGCGGTGCTTTCTAGTAAAAGCAGCCTACACGATGAGGAGGAACTCTCCGAGTTTATCGACGATGAAAAGTTCGAAAGTCCACTGGAGGTGGCCGATATTGGCAGCTCTGGTGAGGATAAAGGTGTTTCAGTCTTACGAAAGCGTAAGCTCAAAGAAGCGGCAGCCACTCAGAAGGATTCATAAGCAAGGGAGGCAGCTCATATGTAGAAAGACTTTTGTAGTACTGTAGTTTAAGGCTAGCTTTTAGGAGCAATAAGTGTGTGCGTTGTACAATAGAAATTTTTTGTACATTTATTTTTTAACTTACGCCGATTCTACTAGTATACAATATACGCAAATGTTATGTACTTTATACGTACATTTGTATGTACATACATATTTGTACATATGTAAAAAGCCATGCGACCAAATTGAACAACTTAATTTAACACTTAAGCTAAGTCAATCCACTCACAAAGTACTCCAAATCGACGTGATCATTATCTGTCTGCTTGTTTGCCTTGAACTGTGCCAAAATCTGCTTACGTTTGTTGTTAAGCCGCTGCCCTTGTATTTGTTTCGTTTCTGCATCTTGAAGCTGTAGTTTTTCTTTAATGCGCGCGCGCAACATCAAATCCAATTTATGTGCAACTGTTTGTATTTGTGGTGCCTTAACCTGAACTAATTTCAAACTAGCATTGGGTGACTTATCAAAAGATGATATGATGAACTGAATCACATCAGTCGTCGCTTCTATGGACTCCAATGTTAGACTATTTCGTTCCCAGGCGTTAACGATGGGTCGAGGTGGTTCCAGACGCTTGTCCATCTGTTGCAGCACAGAGACAGGAACGTCGTCCTTTCGCTTAGCATTACGTTCGAGGCAGCTGGCCAAACTGGCTGAGATATATATTTGTGCAAAGTTGCAGTCCTGAAAACAGCATAGTTGGTAGAGCTTGTAACGCATGCTGCGATAATAGTTATTGTCGTCGCATATAATGACGTAGTTGCTGCTGTTTAAGCTGACACGTCGACGTATTCGCATTGGAAATTCAAAGGACTGCTTGCCTTTACTTTTAATTGTTGTTATTAGCTGTTCCAGCAACTGCAGTATATGCAAACGCTGTTCTTTGTAGGCCCCTTCACCATGGTAATCATCATAGCACAAATGTAAAATATTATAATCCTTTAGGGCAGCATCTTGTTGCTGCAGCAGCCAATAGCTTAATGTTGTTTTGCCTGCCGCGGGCAGGCCAATAAGACAAATAACGGAAATGCGCAACATCAACGGGTGTGTGTATGGGTATGATATTTTAACTAATTAACTGTCCAGCAGCGAGAACAATAGTTGCGCTTGTGGCATAACATACGCATTGGACTGCAGTAGTTCCTGATTCTGCTACATAGGCAGACCCACAGATGGGGCAGGTGTTAAAACAGAGGTTGCAGCTAATTCTTGTTGTTTTTGCAACTCCTTCTGACGCTCTTCCTGTTGTTGTTGCTCTAGCTTTTTCGCATTCTCCTCCAGTTCTTCCATGCGCTTATTGTTAATCGTTGTCTGAACATCTACATAGACTTTCATCATATTTTGATTGAAACGTGCAAATTTTGTAACACATCTGTCAACGCAGGTTTCCTATTCCGTATAATATTATCAATTAGTTAAAATATGGGTTTATTTTATTATTTACTAACCTCTTCCTTACCCAACTCCCTTTCACCAAGTGTATCAACACAGCGGCTAAAACACAATTCCGTAACTTTGTTGTATAATGTGAGAAAGTCTTTTAGCTGCAAATACATAACAATGCATACCAGGAATGGGAATTTTTGCAAAATGAGAAACTGACTTACGTTGCGCAAATTGGGATCCATTTCTTTTTTAGGCCAAGATAATTTAATTCAATTAAATTAATTTTTACTAAATTCAGATTTCCATTTATTCTGAAACATGTGTCACATACTAGAATTGATAGCAAACGGCTGATAGATTGTGGAAAATACTTTACAGCACTGTCTACAGTGTGCACATATACGTAAAATTACGCTTCGCAGACAGCTGTTAAACAGTGTGACCACACCTAGCCAAAACAGTTAACGTAGCATTGGCATTGGTTCAGTCATCTTATAGCTCTCTTTGTGTTTGTTTTGCTTGTTCGGTTGGAAAAAGTGCGGGATTAAAAAAAGCGGCGCAGTTTCGCTGCCATCAATACCTGATTTCACAGCGTACGTGTGAAATTGTGCTCAATCATATTTAATAAAAAAAAAGTCTGTCGCAATTTCGCCAATAAACTAACACATTCAAGCACAATATGAATCTGTACACAGCAACAACAATTGTTGCGCTCTTGCTGGCCGTCACGGCAATAGCAGCTGGCCAGGAACAGGAGGTGAGTTTTTTTTTGTTTTTATTACTATTAATGCTATGGTTTTGATAACTATTTAACGCTTAAACGCTAATAAAATGCAAACAAATACATATTTATAAATATAATGTACTTTAAGAAAAACTAGAAAAGCAATTAGTGACTAGTGCTTGTGGCGTGGCTAGGGTTATGTAGCAAGAAAGAAATTGTATGTTTACAGTTAATAAAAAGAAATGACGCTTTACTGCTCGCTGCTCGTTTGCTTTGTTAACACACACATACACACACTGACAGTGCATTGCGGCATTGCATACACAAACACAATAAACACCTATTCATTTGTATTTATTCAGTTGGTTTTTTTATTTGTATTAATCTCTGATTAGAACAGCAGCACTTGTGTCATAAAATATCAATCAAACACATATAATATATACATATATTTTTGCCCGACTTGTGCTAGCTTATCAAAATTGCAAATGGCCTACAGTTGATATTTTTTGTTGCGTCGCAATTTAAACTTTGGTATATTGTTGTTGTGGCTGCCGCTACAGTCAGTCAGTCGGTGGAGTCAGCTGTTTATCAATATGACCGTTAAAATTTAGAAATTTATGTACATACATGTGTACGTACTTTTGTATTATTTTTACATATTTACTTGCCTTGCCAATCTATTATTAGGCGTGGAATTCAAGCTCACAAAATAAGTGTTCTAATAAAAATAGTTCTTTTAATTTTATTAGATTGGTTCGTCGCAAAGCTGATAAGCTTATATTTCATAGCATACTTATTAATAAGTAAATAAAAAAATAAATATGATTAATTTGTTGATCATTTGTTGTAAGGCTTGATAGAAATTTGCATTCCGGCTGAAAACCAGTTGGTATTACAGAAAATTGAAAATGTTGAAGTTAAGTGTAATAAAATTCGCTTTAAATATTTACCAAGCTTTTATTTCATAATATTGTATTATTTACACTTCTCTGTATGATAAAAATAAACAATAAAGTCGATTTGTAGGCCATTTGAGTCAATTGTTTATCTAATTTGAATCCAGGTTCCGGTTCAAAACCAGTTTTACAGTGTTTTATTAAAAGCAATTAAATAGATTGAATATAATGACATTTTTAAACATTTATATATGTTATTTAATAATAATTTTTTATACAACGCGGCAATAAAACGATCCACAAGCTTTAAGCTTAGGTATAATATTATATTCAATTCTTTGCACTTCCTAGTATGCACATACATACAAAGTAAATAAATATTTTGTGAACCGAATATATTCAGGTCGCAGTCGATTTGGCGTATTTTCCGATTTGCACAAAATAAAAAATGTTCGCCAATTATTTCCGTACCGTTGCCTTCTCTTAAGAATTTAATTCGATAAGTTCAGTTAGTCTCAGCTTTTTGGAAAATTTATTTCGACAAATTTTATTAATATAAATAATAATATTACAATATATATTAGAAATTAAATTTCTAAAAGATTCAGAAAGGGTTTGTTTTTAAAAATGATTGGATCGAAAAAAACACCTAATAGTAACTTACAGACAATTTTATTGACGTTGGAACTGATTCTCCGTAAAAATAGCAGTCATTCTACAGTTAATTTAAGACTCGCTGTGACCGTAAATTTATTCCAGCCGGTACTGAGAGTTCGATTTATGCTTTAAAAGCCAATTACGCTGATTACTTTGTAAATCTATTCAACTCCCAGCACACCCGACGGCTACAATTTGACCCCATCTCTTCAATTTCCAATCGTACGAGACTCTTCTTACGCCCCCAATCAACCATTAGCGCATCCCCTGGCCAAGCTTATTAAAAACTTTGCCTTCATCTCAAAATCGAAACTCTCTCGGGTGCTAATTTGCACTTTGTGGGGCTTCAATAGTGTAATATCCGTTGGCATTTCAATTCGGTGCGACTCATGCTCAAAATTATACAATGACACAATATTTCTCTAGAATATAGACACACACACATACCTATATCTACACTAACACACACACACTTAGCTAAATTTGAATAGAGAGAGCGCATTAGTGGCAGTTGCCGAAAAGAAAGAGGGGAGAAAATCCAACTAAATTTTCTCCACCCACCCACAGAGACAGAGAAAGGCTGTCAGCAGTTCCATGGCTGATTTGCATATAAAGGAAAATCGGCAATTGCTGACAATTTGTAAGCAAAAAAAAAACCTGAAGGCTTTTGCAAAAAACAACTCAATTCATAAGATGCTGGTTTTGTTTGTGAATCATTTGATTTGATTTCCTAAATGACAAAAGACAGCCGCAATCACAGTCTCGAGTCGTCAGTCGGGCGGCGGGATTTGAAGCTTTAGAGGCAAAAGTTGTTTGAGATTTTGAAGCGCATTTTATGCGGCATTTGTCTCTAACTTGCTTGAATGAATAAATGAAACGAACACACACACACATAAATAAATACAAACATATATACATATGTATTTGCATGAATATTTCCGCATATTATTCATTTATGTAAATATTTTCCTATTGTTCGTTGTGTGTGTTGTTTTTGGCCAAATGGAAATGGTAGCCAGCGTTGTTTTTATTATTCCTGAAATATGCCTTCAATTAAAATTCTACTTTTTACCCTCAATTCGAGTTGTTGAATATGCCAAGTGAATTATTCAAAAGCACAAACACATTTCTCATAAATATGCCCGCAATTTTGTACAAAAGTTATGAGTTATGAGACAAAAACCTACCTCAACATATGATGGCATTAGTGATTTGTGGAACTTTTACACAAACGAGGTGTGTTCATCAAAATATTCCGATTTGTTCTCATTGTTGAAATTCTAAATTATATTATAATTTTATTCGGATCTATAGATGACACGAGTAATTGGCAATCAGGTTTTCATACATGGTTATAGTTTGATTTTTTCTGTAGGGATAATTGTTTTTCGACTTTTTAATTCTAATAGAGCAGCATTCTGTCCCATTATGTGTATATAGTGGGCATTAACTTGTTGCCTATCGCTTTCACATTTCAAGTTCTTTTTGCCTTTATTTTTGGTGGCGGTACTTAATCTGGAACAACTACCCTATAAAACTAAATACAATCCGAATGAAAAACATAGTCAGAAAAAGAAGACTGCAATTTATAATATTTCTCATACCATATTGTGCCGTCGGTAACATTTTGTGTTTCACTTCTCTCTGTTAATTGTGAAATTTAAGAATTAGTTGAAATCTGTTGAAACCCAGTTCTATAATTTTTCTGAATCAGGGCTTGTAGCCTGGTAACTATGTTTAGATGTATCATTAAACAACTTAAAAATGAAAAAATGAATAGATAAGCCTAGATAAGTTTTTTCTTCATATTATGATAGGAAATAATTGGTGCTTATGAATTTTAAACATTGTAGGAATTGTGATGGGGAAATATTTATTAAATAGCCCTCTTCTGTGATAATATATATATGTATATAAAAGAATATATATGTATATATGTGTTTTACATGCAGTTATGGATGACATGGTCTGTTTTTGCTGTACCGTCTGTTTTAATTGATATTGATGATGATGCCGCTGCTGCCGCGTTATTCAGTAGCCCTTGGATTGGTGGGTGTGGATGCTGGTTGGTCTCCCCATTCCCTCGCTTCCCCATTCTCCCATTTAGTCAGGCAGGCGACAGCAGTTGGCTTTTGATGACAACGCTGTCGTATTTAGGTGTGGGTCTCGTAAATGTTTGCCCAAATGACTGTAGTCATTAATCTTGCATATTACTTATTTTTTCTTATTTTTGTTGAACCGAAAAAAGGCATATATTTTATTTAAACACATGTGCTTGCATGTGGCGTGTGTGACTCATTAAATACTGAGAGTATACGCAAATATTCATTTAAATTTCTCAGTCGTATATTTGTATCTGTCTAGATTTACGTGAACAGATTTCTACAACTCTTGCATGTACTATATAGCTTCTACACACAATTTTGCGGCTCATAAATGTGCAAATGAAATCTAATTCAATGAAATGACTCAGAACTAGACTGTTGATGAGCTCAACAAATTATTCGGATATATACACTCGTAATTAATTGATGAATGTATTAATGTTTTCCAAAAAATATTAGCTCCAGGGGCTCAGACACATCATCGGATTAAGATGTCATTAACCCCAACTTTTTCTTCTTCTAAATTTGTGCTTAAAACAAAACAGCAGGATCAGTAATCTCATCTTAAATTAGACCAACTATGTATGTACTTATATAGTATACCGGAATAACGAAATCATCTTCACAATTCAATTTAAATATCTATTACATATTTATTTGTATACCAAAAAGAAATGAGCAGGCTTCGATACGAAATTATACCAAATTAATTATTTTTAATCTCAATGTGATATCTTAGAACCCATTCGTTTGTTTATCTTACAATTCACTTTATGGTTCCAAAAAATTAAAAATTTTTCGCTTAAGGCACTTTCTAGTAAATTATAAGACAAATAACAGTGGCAGTATCTTTAAAGTTCATAATGTCCGATAAAAAATTGATATTTAATTCCACATAATAACAATTTATTATTCATTTAAACACAAAACTCGTAAATTTCCATAAAAAATATGTAAATCAAACTTTTTGCATGCGAAACAAATACGTTGATAAAAATAAATACCGCAGACCATGTGAAAGAATGTAAATTATTTAATTCGCATGCTGCAGCGAAAAATATGATTTTGCTTTGTCATTCGTATTATTTTGATTTTGAAAAGTTCATATGGAATAGTACTTCCCTTGATAAGAATTGCAAGCAAGTCGTTGACCCAATTTGTTTTCATTGCTGATAGCCTCATGACACTAGGCTAGAAATTTATCTCGCTTGCAAAAAAAGGGAATTTGGAGCAAACAGTGCTATGTTTATTTTATTTGGCGTCAGCATCAGAGTTTCTGTTTTTCAACCAACCACTTGAAACTGTAAATAAATTGCAATTTTACCATTAGGTTTTCTTTTTAGTTCTTAGTCAAGTGTCACAGATCCATTAA